TCCATTAAGTGTGATGGATTGAGCAGGCAGAACCTGTACTTCCACCAAGGCTTATGTATTCCATTCAACAAAGGGATTGGTCTGTGATAAGGATCCTAATCTTTCCCTAAGGAGTTACTTTTGAAGTAGGAGGTATTGACATTTTAGAGTCAGGGACCTAATTTTATTCTGCTGCCTCCTAGCTGTAGCATCTTGGAAGAATCACTTCCCTTCTCTGCACCTCAGTTTTCTCATCTGTAAAATGAGAGTGTTGGGTCCTTAATGTTCTGTATGAAACAAATACATTTCTGAACAGAGTAGGTTTGTTACATGTTCACCTGGAGATTTCATAAAGTTGAGGGGAGGGTCTAGGTGCTTGTGGCCTCTGTCAAACCATGTAAGACTTAAAGAGCTAAATCAACCATGTTGGGAGCCTTGCCTTCATAGGGAATGGAGGGGGATCCAGTCCCCAAAGGCTCTCTCATTCCCAGGTAGCCAGGGGCTAGCGTTTGGGCTTTTTGGTAGTAGAGAGCTCCCACTGATCCCAATTTGTAGTTCCCTGTATCCACAGGGCCTAACTGGATAGTAACCCCAGGATTGTCAAAACATTTAGGAATCTGTCTTCCTTTTCTCTGTGAACAGATTTTCAGAAAATCTGGAATCCTCTAGACCCAGACCCAGCCAGTGATGTCATCTGGACTGTTCCACACAGCAGGAGGGCTGCTTGGGACAGGACATGCTGTTCCTTTAGCCTCTCCTTTCTGGATGATTCCCTGGGGTATCTCCTGCTTCCCCTGGCATGGAGCTGGTCCATGGGGCAGCTATCTTGAACATGCTGTTTTGGTCAGCACCACTGTCTTTCCTGACTGAGCCTGGGCTGGTCGTGGCTACTCTTTATTAAGTGTTAAATACAGACCCACAGTGAATCATTTAGAATTAGACTTAGTCTAGGGAGGTTTTTCCCCTTCTATCTTCTTTTTTTCCTATCCCAAGTGCTTTTGTAGTAGTCAGCTGGGAAAGGATTCTGCACTTCACCTTCTTTCTCAGATTTTCATTACTCCTCTCCCCTCATCTATTTATCCCCTCTGTCCTCCTCTCTTTTCCTTACTTATGTCTCCCTAGCCACCACAGCTACAATATCCTAGCCATGATAATGGGTTGGGGTAATAGTTTAAGGGTACAGGGAGAGTTTGAACACATACTTCTTTTTCTCTGACTGACCTTCCTTAACATCTCACAAATGCCATGCTCCCTTCTACTCAGTACTGAATTATCAGCAGCTGAGAGTGACACAGGCCTCTCCTCTTGCAGACGATAGCGGTAGGGATGGGGTACGGTGGGCCAAGCTCCTGGGAGTAGAGTGTCTCCTCTCTATTGTCTTGGGTAACCCCAATCAACTTAGTGCCTCTCGTACTGTCTCCCACCCTGTCTACCTGCCAAAGATGCCCAGTTTCCTGGGCAGCACTCACCAGGTGCAGATCTGAGAATGGGAAGAGAAGTCTCTGGACCCCTTGAGGAAGCTCTCTTTCTTGGTGCCTTGCTTGAGCTGGATTTTGTGCTCTGCACAGCCTGGCTTCTGCTCTGCTGTGTTGCTGGAGTGGAAAATCCTGGTGGGTCAGGCAGCCAGTGGGGTTGGGGGAAGGGAGTGTCACCTGACCTTCAGCAGAATAGTTGGCAAGCCTGGGGTATGCTCAGCTGTCAGCTGTGGGGCCACCATAGGGTGGGGGTGGATGGGTGGAGAGGATTGGGTAAGGGTGAAGGATAGAAGAGGGGGAAGGGAAAGGAGTGAAAGGGGAAAAAGGAAGACTAGGTTAGGGTAAAGGAAGAAAATTAAAAGGGAAAAAATGAGGAAGAAGCAGCTGAGAGGAAGAGGGAGAAAGCGAGAAGAAAGAAGAGAAAGAGAAAAGAAAGATGAGGGTGAAGATGAGAAGGGGGGGAGAAAAAGAGATGAGAGGAGAAAGGGAAGTAGTGGAGGAGGTCAAAGAAGAAGAGAGACACGTGCATAGCTAATTGGAAGAGGCTCAGCACTGCCATTTTGCTATGGAGAGAAGGTGGGACCAGCCTCGCTGTGGCAGCAGAAAGCATGGGATTTCTTAGTCTCTCTCTTTCCTTGAGGGCCTAGCATGCTTCCTGAGGAGAGCTTGATAATTCCCTACCCTTAGAAACAAGGATGGGATTGTTCTCTTTTTTAAAAAAAATTAAAATATATTTATTTCATTAACATTTCCCCAGTTACAAGTAAAAAATGTTAACAATCATTTAAAAAATTTTTGAGTTCCAAATTCTCTCCTTCCCTTTAGCCCCTCACCCCTCCTCAAGAAGGCAAGCAATTTGATATCAATTATACATGTGAAGTCATACAAAAAACATTTCCATGTTAGCCATGTTGTAAGAGAAAATAGATTAAAAAACTGCCCAGAAAAATAAGGTAAAAAAAAAGTATGCTTCAATCTGTATTCCAAGTTCATCAGTTCTCTGGAGGTGGATAGCATTTTTCATCATGGGTCCTTTGGAATTGTCTTGGATCCCTGGCTTGATCAGAGTAGCTAATTCTTTCACAGTTGATCATACTTACAATATCGCTTTTACGGCGTACAACGTCCTCCTGGTTCTGCTCACTTCACTTTACCTGAGTTGATGTAAGTTTTTCCAGTTTTTTTCTGAAGTTATCCTCATAATTTCTTTTCTTTTTCTTTTCCTTTTTTTTTGGGGGGGGGTGAGGCAATTGGGGTTAAGTGACTTGCCCAGAGTCACACAGCTAGTAAGTGTCAAGTGTTTGGTCTGAAACCTAATTTGAACGCAGGTCCTTCTGACTCCAGCCAGATAGGCTGGTGCTCTGTCCACTTCGCCACCTAGCTGCCCCCATCCTCATCATTTCTTAAAGCACAATAGTATTCCATCACAATCACATACAACTTGTTTAGCCATTTCCCCAATTGATGGTCATCCCCTCAATTTCCAATTCTTTGCTACCATAAAAAAAAACTGCTGTAAATATTTTTGTACAAATAGGTTCTTTTAATTTTTCTTTGATCTCTTTGGGATACAGATCTAGTAGTGGTATCAAAGGTTATACACAGTTTTATAGCCATTTGGGCATAGTTCCAAATTATTCTTTGAATGGTTGGACCAGTTCACAACTCCATAATGCATTAGTATCCCAATTTTTCCACATCTTCTCCAGCATTTGTCATTTTCTTTCTTTTTTCTTTTTTTTGTCATGTTAGTCATTCTGATAGGCGTGAAGTGGTATCTCAGAGTTGTTTTAATGTGCAATTTTCTAATCAGTGGTGATTTAGGGCATTTTTTCATATGACTAATGATAGCTTTAATTTCTTCTTCTGAAAACTGCCTGTTTCTATCCTTTGACCATTTATCAACTGGGGAATAGCTCTTATTTTTATAAATTTGGCTCAGTTCTTTATTTATCAGAGAAACTCACTAAATCTTTTCCTCTCAGTTTTCTGTTCTCCTTATAATTTTGGCTGCACTAGTTTTATTTGTGTGAAAGCTTTAAATTTCATGTAATCAAAATTATCCATTTTACATCTTGTGATCCTCTCTCTCTTTTGTTCGGTCATAAACTCTTCCCTTATCCATAGAACTGACGGATACATGTTTCCATCCTTCCCTGATTTCCTTATGATATCACCCTTTATGTCTAAATCATTTATCCGTTTTGACCTTACCTTGGAATACGGTGTGAGATGTTGGCCAATACCTAGTTTCTGCCAAATTGCTTTCCAATTTTCCTAGCAATTTGTATGAACTGTCAAGTTCTTTCCCCAAAACCTTAGATGTTTGGGTTTACCAAACACTAGATTTCTATGGTCATTTACTACTGTGTATTATGTACATAGTCTATTCCACTGATCTGTCTCTCTATTTCATAGCAAATACCAGATTGTTTTGATGATTATTACTTTGTAAGATAGTTTGAAATCTGGTACAGCTAGGCTGCCTTCTTCTTAACATTTTTTTTTCATTGATTCCCTTGATATATTTGACCTTTTATTCTTTTGGATGAATTTTATTATTTTTTTTTCTAGTTCTGTAAAATGATTCTTTGGTAGTTTGATTAGTATGGCTCTGAATAAGCAAATTAACTTAGGTAGAATTGTCATTTTTATTATATTGACTCAGACTACCCACGAGCAATGAATATTTCTCTGGTTGTTTAGATCTGTCTTTATTGGTGTGAAAAGTGTTTTATAATTGGTGTGAAAAGTATTTTATAATTGTGTTTCTATAATCCTTGGGTTTGTCTTGGCAGATAGACTCCCAGGTAGTTTATATTGCCTGCAGTTATTTTAAATGGGATTTCTCTTTCTATCTCTTGCTGCTGGATTTTGTTGGTAGTATATAGAAATGCTGATGATTTATGTAGGTTTAATTTATATCCTGCAACTTTGCTGAAGTTGTTAATGGTCTCAACTAGTTTTTTCATTGAGTCTCTAAGGTTCTCTAAGTATACCATAGTATCATCTGCAAAGAATGATAGTTTTGTTTTTTCATTACCTATTTTAATTCCTTCAATTTCTTTTTTTTATTACTATAGCTAAATTTTCTAATACACTATTGAATAATAATGGTGATAACAGGCATCCTTGCTTCACCCCTGATTTTATTGGGAAGGCTTCAAGTTTGTCCCTGGTACATATAATGCTTGCTCTTGGTTTTAGATAGATACTACTTACTATTTCAAGAAAGGCTCTATTTATTCCTATGCCTTCTAGTGTTTTTAATAGGAATGGATTTTGCAATTTGTCAAAGGCCTTTTCTGCATCTATTTATATAATCATATGATTTTTGTTATTTTTGTTATTGATATGATGAAATTGTTTTCCCTGTTGTTCTGCAGGTTAGAGGTTAATGAATTTTTGCAAGGCTACAAAGGAAGTCAGAATTCTATCTTCAACTGGAATATGTATTAATAATCATTAAACAGAATCTCTTAGGTTGGTTAGATGGACGTTCCATAACCTGCCTTTAGGCAGGGTTGCATCTAATTTTCTCTGGATAGATTGAATTTGAAGAATGTCTAGAGCCCACAACCTCCCTTTAGGAACTGATTTCAGGAATTTCTGCTTTTTGTCTGTCACCTGTAACCCAGGTCCCCTCCAAGCAAAGGGACTTTTGCTTTGGTTTTAAGGAACACTGGATTCATCCTGGAGGAGGGCTAACCCCCCAAAATGAGAGTCAGACTTCTTGTGATCTCTGTGGCTCATTATGCTCTCACCCTGGAGGTCCAGGGAAAATCCCTAAAATAAAGCCTGGGTATGGCTTATGTTTAAGGTCAACCCAACAAGGTGACAACTTAACCTTTGTGAGAGGTACTATTAGAATTCCTGATTTTATTCCTTGAGCCCAACAGAGGAAAAAAAAAAAAGGGAGACAAGAGTGAAAATAAAGTTGTGGTGACCAAAAAGACAGAGAAAATCACCAGTGAGGGTGGGGATGGGGGCTACCAAATATATCACCAAATCTGTCACCGTGACCCAGAAGGTGGAAGAGCATGAAGAAAACTTCAAGGAGAAGCTAGTGTCCATTCTCACACTATAGTCAAAGAAGTCACCCAGAGTGATTAAGAGAATCAAGTCAGGTGCAAAAAGGTTAAGCCAGACTTCAAAATATATGTGATTGATGGCTTCTGAGCAGAACAGGTTCTCCCACGAAGGGTCCAGACACTGTATTTTACTTTGTGTAAAGGGACTTTCATGGAAACTCATGGTGTGCTTCCTTCATAGTCTTTGGGGAATTAACAATGCATGATGTGCAATGTACCTAGTAACTTTTTTCATTTTCCCATTTCCTGAGCTGTTGGAAGGGGTGGGAGGACATACTGGAGAGATGTCTTGAGATGTATTATGCAAAGATTCAACTGAGCCAAAAATAATACTAATACTACTACTCATGATAATAATGATAATGAAACAGAACTCTTAGATTTAAGAAAGCTACTTATAAATAATTATGTTTACCTCATTGGTGCAATTAAGATGGGCTTTCATTCACTGGAGAACCTCTGACACAAACAGTTTGCAACCTTTTATGGATTGAGTTAAAATGTCCTAGCAGTTCTTGCTCAATAAAGATAATATTGGAAACAAGGGAAAAAAAAACAACAAAAAACCAAGGGGCAGGGGAACACAGCTAGGTGGTGTAGTGTATAGAATGCCAGGCCTGGAGGCAGAAAGTTGTGAGTTCAAATCCAACTCCAGATACTTACTAACTGTGTGACCCTGGGCAAGTCACTTAGCCCTGTTTGCCTCAGTTCCTCATTTGTAGAATGAGCTGGAGAAGGAAATGGCAAACCACTCCAATATCTTTGTCAAGAAAACCTCAAATGGGGTCACAGAGTCAGACACAATTGAACAATAAGCTATACATAAAATTGTGTGTGATTTGTGATATCTCTAGAAATGACTTTAATGTAGAAATATATAAATTTAAACTGAAAAAAAATTCTGACAACTTACTCTGTGCAGGAAGTTATTGGTCCCATTTTATAGTTGAAAGAATTAAGCCTCTGAGGAAGGGATCTGCCACTGCACCACAAATACTGAACAT